AGGAATTAGCTAGAAGTCCAGACGGGCGTTTCGCCGATTTTCCGCTGAGGCTCAGCACTGCATCCCCCCTGAGCTTTCTGGCACATAATCTAGCTCAAGAAATTTCAGATTTTTTAATTTCCTCAGAAATTTATGTGCTAACTTTAAGCAAATTTCTCTGGAGAAACTTTTACACTAATAAATTTCGGCTCAAACATTCACCTCAGGCTTCGGATCGAGCCCGAAAAGGCTTGTTCCGAAGGATTAACTTCGGTTTGGCACCTTAATTTCTGAGGAGATTAAAGCGCTAAAAATAGATGAAACTTTCTGACAATAAAATGTTCTGCTGGCCATAGAATTCATTTGCCGTTTGTGGCAGCTAGGTCGGTTGGAAAATGAACCCCACGAACTTTGTTTTTGAGATTCTCGCCGACTCAGATGGCTGTTAATGAGGAATTTTGGTCATCTGGCTTTACCAACAGTCAGAAGACTTTCGCATGGTCCATCTCGAGGACACCCCAGCTCTAAAAAGTGCACACTAATTTTCAGTTGTCCTTCAGTGAGCCAGCCGAAGGTACTGCCGAAAAAAAATTAGCTTGATTAGTTACCAAAAAGTACATTTCCTCACGTTTCAATCAGGCCAGCGTCAGATACAAGCAGCAGTTAGACTTTTCACACGCACACACACATGACCGATTGCGATCTCGGCACCGGATGAGCTATCTGACTGCTCGTTGTAGCACTTTTCAGCTCAAATAGTACGCGCCAAACTCCTGTGCTCGGCTATTTAAAAGTCGTTCCCCTTCACGAGCGGACTAGTGAATAACATGATGCACGATTTAGTCACTCTGCTCATTCTCCTCTTCCCCATCATCGGCCCTCACGCCGCTTACGCAGAGTTGGCCGGTTTCGAAGACCGCAGTCCCCAGTGCGGTGGCAGCCTACTCTACACGCAGTCTTCAGGAGAAATAATATCCCATGCGGGTCTTCTTGAGGACCTGCCTCTGCCTCAGAATCTTTCCTGTTTCTGGCTTATTCAGGCCCCGGGTCAGCAGAATGGGGTCCTGTTACAGGCCGGTCTTTTCGACCTCGAGGAGGGAGTAAGTGGATCCTGTGAGGAGGACTTCCTTGCTGTCTTCGTGCCAGGTGATGAGCCCCAGACTGGGACCGACGGACTTGGCCTCTCGAGGTTCACGAAGGCGGTTGGCGGCGGACGCAAGTGCGGAAAACATCCAGACGGCAGCCTACGTTTCCTAGCGGACAGCAATGCCGTCCTTATTGTTCTCAGAACCGTCAAAGCCAGCGCTAAACGGCGCGGCATTCGACTGCATTTCAATGTACTACCTCGGGAACAGATTGCTAGCATCGGAAAGGCGGCCGGAGAATGCGCTAAAGCCTCGGAATGGACTTGCCCCTCAGCGAATGACGAAAAGGTCTGCATACCCAAGTCCTGGGTCTGTGACAGCATTGAAGACTGCCCTGAGGGGCGAGATGAGAGCATCTGCAGACACCACTCGGGGCCGTCTGCGCGTAAGGTACAGACCCCGACAACGAGGTGTAAGGCGGCTGGCAGGGGAAAGGGTGTCGCCAATGCAACCGATGACTGGGGCCGAGTGGTCAACGGACAGCCGGCTCAACAAGGTGCCTGGCCTTTCATAGCCTCCCTGCGTCTAGGCAGCGGTGCTTCGCATGTCTGCGGGGGCAGCCTCATCAGTCAGTACTACGTGCTCACTGCGGCTCACTGTGTGTACGACTTTCAGAATCCCGACTACTGGCAGGTAGATTTGGGCAGGTACTACAAAGACCAAAATACCGATGGCATCCAGCGGTTCCGCGTTGCCAAGGTTATCCTCTACCCGGCCTACGATCCCACCAAGATTGTAAATGACCTGGCCTTGCTGCAACTGGCCCAACCCGCCAATCTAGCCACCGCGGTGGTGCAGAAGGCCAATGTAGTTCGCAGCGCAAGTCAGGCAAGTGGTCTTACAACTAACACGCCCTGCATCGTGGCCGGTTGGGGCGACACCCGCAACACCGGTTCAAATTCTGTTCTACGGCAGGCGAGCGTGCCGGTCATTGACTACACTCTCTGCAGCTCCTGGTACAGCACTCTGACGCCAGCCAGCTTCTGTGCCGGATACGCGCAGGGCGGTATCGACGCCTGCCAGGGAGACAGCGGCGGGCCCCTGCTCTGCCGTATAGGCGGCGAGGTGGTGCAGTCTGGCGTGGTGTCGTGGGGCGCAGACTGTGCCCAGGCAAAACAACCCGGGGTCTACACAAATCTCGCAAATTTCGTCAGCTGGTATCAAAACCTGCTTTAGGGCGTCCTTCCCAGCTGCGTCTCACTCCATGAATCTAGTACAGCTACGTGATTACTATTGTACGCTCTTGCGCCCTTAATTTTTTTGCTTCCATTTTCAATCCATACTTACAAAAGGAAGCCTGAGGTGTCGTTTTAGTCAGTAACACACTTGACAGTCATCGCGCATCTGCAAAAAAATGACTTCACAAAAGACACCAAATGGAAAAAAAAATTTGGGGTTCATTTGGTATGCCAAGATGTTTCGCGCAAGACTTTTCGTAACACCAGCTCATGCCGAGCGCTAGAGACGGCCCTTTTTTCGTTCAGACGGAGTTATGCAGCAACAAAGGTTAGGAGCCGTCTAGGATACCGCAGATAGCGCCGATTGGCACGGACATTTTTCACGATCTATATCCTAATCCCATTAATGAATTTCAAAAGTCATAAAAGGCACGAAGTAAAAGCCATACGAGGAACAGCATGATTTTGTACTTGACATTGAAACGCCAAGTTGTTTTTGCCTGAAAGAAATCAAATAACAGTGTTTTCACAGACATGTGAAACAAGCAATTTCCATGGTAGTTGGGTTCCCCTGCGTCCCAAACGGCTTCATCAGTTGCACAAACAAACGTTAAAAATAGGCCCTGGTATAAGAGGATGGCGCAAGATGCTTGTTTAATTCTTCAAAGAATGTGTGGCGGTCAAGGATATGGGATCAGCTTAAACCACGCACAATAAGTTCGTATCGTCTAATGACAGAAGTCAGGGAGCTGTGAGGACTAGTTTATTCTGTACACAGGGCAGGTTGCCGTAAGTTGGCTGTTTGCTTGCAACAGAGAATAGCGTCCGTTCACGGAGAGCGTCAGTCGCGGTATGTTGTTTATGCGGGAGTGAAAGTCCGTGTCCGTAGGTGGGGGTGACTGGTTGGATGCTGGTCATGAGATTGGACTGATTAGGGGAGGATTAGGGGGAAGCATACTTACAGGGGCTCACGGGTATCAAGCCAGGTCGTCCGACGTGCATGAGGTGATAATAATTTGTGGGGGCAGCCAGGGGGTCACTGCAGCTGGACAGGAGTGGGGCCCAGTTCTAATCGGCAGGGGTGGTTGTGTGTCAGCGGCCTGGCAACGATTGTCGCGGCCATCGACCGACACAACAGAGCCGGAGAAAAGGGGGAATGGAGCGGCTGCTACAAATGTCCGACGTCAGTCTGCGTTGCAGTGCCCTGATCAAGACTTAACTTGAGATTCATGTTACTTCGCTGTTTAAGACTGCGCGTTTCAAATTCGGAATCAGTTTTTTGGTATGTGAGGTAGTGTGCTTCAGTTATAATTCTAAATCAGTGGGACTGTCCCTGTTCAGATTGCCTTTCTGCAGGTGTAGCCCTTGAAATCGGTGTTTTAAACTGCTAATTAAAAAGCTGAAGTGTGTCATCAAAGATATCGATACGGTTATGGATAGGAAGCTACATGCATACATATTCGTGCAAACTCTTTCTGCGTTCACCGACGTATTACTTTTTAAATTCTCTTCCTGGGGGCACAGCTTCCTTTGAGGTGGTCAACATAATTAAACTGTTATAGTCACGAGAAATATGAAAAATGCACAACTTGAGCAGTGAGGTTTTTGGAGAAATGGAAACGCCAGAGGTCCCTGGAACAACCTCTCATGCACTGTCCGCAATTCCAATGTATGAAGAAATTTATCCTATTTTCAAATGACAGCCATCGTTTTTGACGCATTCAAACAAGCTGTTAATATGTTGGGTTCTGGCCATGGCTCTGCAGCAAGGTAGGCACAAAAACGGGGTTTTCAGATGACTGCTCGATTAGTCGTTACCTTGACCGGCCTACGGCTCACGTAGCTTTGCCTACCCATAGGTCGGGAAATGCGTGCGAGCGAGAGTCGATGGCGGAGGTGGTTCCCACTTGTGAACTACTAGAGAGGGAAAATGAAACGTCCAGACTAGAGGTCTTACAGCACGGACGCGATGAGAGCCAGTGTTGCTCTCTGATGCGTAAAACATACAATACTAGACGCCTTCTCTTTTGCACCTCGGCACCTCCGTCGAAATCGTCTATATGCCTCATCACCTGCAGAAAACGGAAAGAGAAACGCTACCCTGCAATACAGGTGGCCTTGCGTTAAACGGTAGAACTGACTGATAGGCCCCCTAAACAGAGCATGGGAACAGGAACGTCCGCCCAAGTAGTAAAGGTGGACCTGTGCATAATTTCGGAAAGGCCACAATATTCTCATATCCAAACCCCAAAATAAGCCTAGTATAAGACGAAACCGTTGCCCTAGTTTTAACTCTAACCCTACATTAACGCCTGCCCTAATCCCAAACTTGGTCCTGACTTGGCTTAACGTTAACTTTAAATCTAACCTTAATCTCTAACCCAAATGTGACATTAAGCCTAGCCCTAACTTCATTGGAATTTGACTGGAAGCCAGCCCGTAGTGCAGGCGGTTCCTGTTCTCATGTCCTGTTTAAGAGGGCCACATAAGTTGGTCTTACCAGGATAAGTGAATATTCCCCTGTCTCAACCCTAGCCCAAACCTTGACTTTAAACCTAACCTTGACTGGGACCGTACCTTAACTCAAACTCTAAATTTAGATTAACCCTACTTCCCCTGGAGATTAGTGTCGGCGGAGGCCATATAAATGATCCTTACCAAAGTTTTCCGGATGTCAACAGCAATTTGTTTTACTAGAAGGTCCACATGAGATGGGGGACTATGATTTTATTGGTTTTTGCTGCGGGTTGACTAGGATAAAATCAAGAATCTCTTACATTTGAAGGTTTCTTATAGTTTGAATAAAGCCGTAAACAACAAGCTGTTCCGACGAATGCATTCTGATCCCCACCTTGCGCCGGCGTGACGACAGTTGCTAAATGGGCCTCCGCCGATTGTCTCTAAATTCACCGTCAATGCGGAAAAGTTGCGAGGATTCCTGCTCGCCCAAAAAAAGATTTTATATCTCCGAGGCATGGAAAATGCACTTGGCTGTTTAAAATTTTACCCAATGTAGCGAACTTTTCTTGTGCGGATTTAGATTAGAACACAATTTGACTGTGGCGACAAGGAACATTAATGGAGCAGAAAATTAAATGTCTCAATACTCCCTTCCTGGCGATATCGGCAGTTCAATATCCACCGCATGCTTTACAGGAGGGTGGAACGCAAACTTGATGACGACAAAGTATGCTTAAAAAAGATGCTCAAGGACCACTTCGCAATCGAACCAAAAAGCAACACTTGGGTGCTTGAAAAGACTCAGAAATGTCGCTGGTACTAATCCCCAACATGCGATCTTAATTAAAATGGTAAGAACATTTGGGAAGCTGGTATCGAGCTACTTCATGAACAGCCCGAAACTGCTGTGCATGCATGTATGTTCATCGCTGAATAGAAGACAATAGAGCTTAGTCGCCAGTCCGAAGTAGTTGGTGACAGAGAACGCAGAGGTTAAGTCGCTGTCTGCAGCGGAATGGAATTTCAACCATTTTCACCTTGTACTAGATTTTTAGCAAGTTCTTTACTGTCCTCAAAATTTTTCCAGTTTGATTGTGACACGCTTTTGCGAAGGGCGGCTATGAGCATAGTTCAATCTGGATGACCTTCGACGCTGATTGGTGGATCGTGCAAAAAAGCACTCATATGACAGGTCTCATTGGAAGCGTTCACTGATCAGTCTTTCAGCATTTATTGGGTCGGACAGGGGGGAGGAGTTACGTGACGACCCTCTGTACAAACTGTGACCCCAATTACCACACACGATGAACCCCCTGACGTAATGTCAGCCCTCCACGCGTTGGTCCGCAAAAAACACGTCAGTTTTTGCCAAGCCATGACATGTCATTTGCCGCGCAGTATGTATGCAATAAACGCCACGGAAAGCGATCTTGCCTTTGAATACACGGTATGTTCGAAAGTAAACTTATTTATTATGAAGAAGGACATTAATTTGACTAATGTTAGCGTAATTAGGAAAGTTAGTTGCACCACAAATCTTTTATAGGACGGCGAGAGAATAATAAATATCAGGGATCCAGGCAGCAATTTTTAGTTAAACTCTTTCGCTGAAGTTTAAGAGGTTTTCTTCAAATTTTATATGGTGAGACTTAACTGGAAATTGGGCTTCGCAGAAAGGAAAAGTACCTGACTCAACCTCAATACCCTTTCAATTTCCTCGTAAGTTAGCGTGTGAACTTGGAGTAAAGCCTTCGTTTCAAGGTTTTTTAGGTTCGCTCCGAAAGTTAATTGGAATATTTGAGCCGGAATCTGTCAGCAACAAAGGGTTAAGAAACTCATTGTCCCTCACCGTCCGATTTCGTTGTCCAGCAGCAGAAAACATACCGATTACTGCGATGTCCGAGCTAGTTGGTGCGCAAGACGAAGGTAGAAATGCATCGGCGCACAACGGCGGGCTAGGTGCCATTCACTGGACTAGGTAGGAATCCATAGGACGTACCTGACGGAAGGGGGCGGAAGTGTTCCCCTAGCGCAATTTACTTTCCGCCGTTGTCGGCAACAGGGTTCGGTCTACAAATTCAAGTCACTAACTGAAGTGGCAGCTAGCCATATAAAGAATGAAGAAAGGACGTTTTCCAGTGACAAAATTGGTGACTAGTAAGAAACCGACTGCGGTCAATGAATTCCATAGAAAAAGTCATTTATGACGTAGGCAGAAGTAACAGGAACCAACTCGGCCGAATTTACGCCCATTAGACAAAGAAGGAAGAAGGCGCTATTGACGACAGTGAGCCACAGTGACCAGTGCAAAAATAAATCAGGCCACTTAGATCGAATAAGCACATTCTCTTTAGGAATAGAGTCCGGAGGGAAACTTATTCTCATGTCCTCCCGACTAATGTTTCGTCTCTCATAATAGCCGACAGAATTTATGTTTATAAAGTCTGTTTTACAGTTGTCGAAAATACTCCTCAAGTAATTAATTTATACACGGGCAATTAATAATGGGCTGTCATAGATTTTTCAGCTAATCGTTAA